TCCTATCACCAAGAGTTCTTTGATGTTCATGTCGATGGCCATCCTGAGTCTGAGGATACAATCTTCATATTCCGCCATGTTGTTGGTACAATAAACCTGATCTTGGCTGAAATCGGGTAATACTGACCTGTTTCTGAAATTAAGACTGCTCCTATTCCAACTCCAATAGAGTTTGATGCTCCATCAAAGAACATTCTCCATCCATCATATGATTCTGATATATCTTCTCCTACAAACAAAACTTCTTCATCAGGGAAGTAGGTTGTGAGCGGCTTGTAATCCTGGTCCACCGGGTTTTCTGCGAGGTGATTCGCCAGGGCTTATCCTTTGATGGCCTTCTGTGTCACATACACAATATCAAACTCGCTCAACAAAATTTGCCATGTATGCAGACAGGTAATGCCTAATTTTTTGCGCAATCCAAGTCAAAGCGCAACATTTTCGTTCCAACAAGGTGTATCTTGCCTCGTACGGTGTGAACTTCTTGCTCAGATAGTAAATGGCTTGCTCTCTTCTACCTGTCTCATCATGCTGCCCCAATACATATCTGAATGCTTTATCCATGACAGATAGATACAATAACAAAGGCTTTCCAGGTTCTGGTGGGACCAATACTGGTGGGTTGAACAAGTATTCTTTGATTCTATCGAAAGCCCTTTGGCATTCCTCTGTCCATTTTGTGGCAGCATCTTTCTTCAGTAACTTGAATATGGGTTCGCAGATCACTGTAGATTGAGCTATGAGCCGACTGATGTAATTCAGTCTTCCAAAGAAACTCATCACGTCTTTCCTGGTCTTGGGTGGAGGTAGCTCTTGGATTCCTTTTATCCTTGATGGATCCAACTCTATGCCTTTCCTTCTAACGACGAATCCTAATAGTTTTCCCGTGGGTACTCCAAATGCGCACTTTGCTGGATTCAACTTTAGATTATACTCACGCAACTTCTCGAAGAACTTTCGTAAGTCATCCGGTGGTCTGAACTTCTTTTGGATTTGATAACGACATCATCCACGTACACTTCAATTTCCTTGTGGATCATATCGTGAAAAAGGGTAGTCATGGCCCTCATGTAGGTTGCACTGGCATTTTTGAGACCAAATGGCATTACTCTGTAGCAATACACTCCCCATGGAGTAATACACGTTGTCTTGTCTGCATCATCTTCATCCATTAGGATTTGGTGATATCCTGCAAAGCAATCAACAAATGATTGGAACTCATGTTTTGGACAATTATCGATGAGTATATGAATATTTGGAAGAGGGAAATCATCCTTAGGACTGGCCTTGTTGAGATCTCGATAGTCTACACATATTCTGATTTTTCCATCTTTTTTTGGCACAGGCACAATATTGGCAAACCATGTGGGGTAATTTGTGACCCTTACAATGTTTGCCTCAATTTGCTTAGTTACCTCCTCCTTGATCCTTAAGCTCAATTCTGGCTTCAATTTTCTTGTCTTTTGCTTAACATGTAGACAAGTGGGATTAGTCGGTAATTTGTGCGAGACAATATTAGTGCTTAATCCTGGCATGTCATCATAAGACCAAGCAAATACGTCAACATACTGCTTAAGCAATTCTATTAACTTTTGTTTTCTTTCGGCCTCCAAATGTATACTAACTCGTGTCTTTTTCACGATTTCCTTATCTCCTAACTTGACAACCTCTGTTTCATCCATATTGGGTTTCTTCTGACTTTCAACCTGCTCGATCTTGTGTGGCAGATTTTTAGGCATCATGCTTTCATCATACTCTTCATGATCTTGTTCATCATTTTCACCTTGCTCGGTGGATTCGTTACATGTCATAACAGTTGAACGAGGATTTTTTATTAATATGAGTTGCTGAAAAGCTCAAAAGGTAGTAAAAATAAATAGATATTTAAAATAATGAGATTTAAAAAAAAAAAAAAATAAAGACTTTTTTATTTTAAAGCATTCTAGCTTTTAGAAGAGGCAAGAAACAAAAGATTAGGCATGATTCAAGCCTCAATTTGATCATGCGAATTTTAAAATTAAGACTACTTTTCCACACTACCAGGACTTTGGTTGAAATACGGACGGGCTGGTGGTCTAATTCTGCAAGATTTCTCCAGGTTCGGCATTACGAATGGTCAACTTGTTGAGATTTATCCCTTCTTTTTCTCCAGTCGTGGCTACAAATAGATTGCCTATTCCTTCTGTGATGTCATCAACGCCAGCTTGATCTGGAATAGAAGATTGTTCTAGTACGAAGATTGTATCACTCGCCTCCTGGTGGAATCTTCCCAAGGCAGGCTTGTATCCGAGTTCGTTGGTGCCTCTCTGATGCTTCAGTTGGATTGGCTCGACTATACCGTTGGACTTGGGTCCAAGTCCACTCTTTGGCTGATACCCTTACTTCAACATTTCTGACGCAACCATTTTTGCTGTACTTGACAACTTAGTATTACCTGCCTCTGCTTCTTCATTGACCCTTATAGCTTGCATGATTTCCAAGTGTGAAAAGTGGCTCCGTCTAACTCCTCGATGACTGAGATAGAATTAACAGAATGAATGGGGTGACTGAACTCTCCGTGGACGGTAACTTCTGTGCGACCCCACTCAAACTTTACACATTGATGGAGAGTGGAAGGAACCGTTTTTTCCATAGGAACCCATGGTCTTCCCAACAACAGGTTGTAGTTGGACAATACATCCATCACTTGAAATAGAATGGGAAATTCAGCCGGCCCCACCTGCAATCTGAGATAGATTTCTCCAATGACACTTCTTTGCGCTCCATCAAAGGCTCTAACTTTCACACGACTTTCCTTTATCTCTCCCATATTGACACCTAAATCCCTCAGAGTGGTGAAAGGACAGATGTTGCATCCAGAGCCACCATTAATTAAAACTCGAGTCACAATCTTATCACAACATTTGACTGCGATGTGAAGCGCTTTGTTGTGCCCAGCCCCTTCTGCGGGCAAGTCATCATCGTGGAAAGAAATTTTGTTAGCTTCCACTATTCTTCCAATCGTTACAGCTAAGGTCTCACTTGTGGTCTCTTTAGGAATTATCACTCCACTTAACACATCCATCAAAGCATTCCTATGAGCTTCAGAACTCATAAGCAAAGACCAAATGGATATGTGGGCTGGCGTCTTCTTCATCTGTTCTTCAACCGAATAGTGTTTAGACTGCATCTTCTTCCAAAACTCTGTGGCTTCAGCATCGGTAGCATTCTTCTTTGGATTCTGTTCTTTTCCGAGAACTCTTTGATTTAGGTCCTCTGGAGCATAGCACCTCCCCGACCTAGTCATCCCTTAAGCCATGACAGTGTCGATTATCTTGCCCTTGACACTTGCTCGATAGTCCCAAGGGACTGCTTTGGAGTCATACTCGGGCTTCTTAGCAACTAGAGTTGTCACTACAACTCTTGGGAGATATGTTTGGACAGTCAGAGGTTCCCTTAGTTGAACAGTGATAACAGGTTGCGCCGAAGATGTCATGGCATTCGCTTCATCTATGTTTGGATAGGAGGGGGTCCCATATTTGTCATCCAGAGTAACCACGTTGACTTCCCGATTCTCATGGTTTGGCAAGGGATTATTGTTCACATTGGGAGGTGCTGGAGTGCATTTGATTACTCCTCTCCTGATCAAAGACTCGATCTGTTTCTTCAAACCATAACAATCTTCTGTGTCGTGTCCCTGGACTCCTGAGTGGTAAGCACATCGCTAGTTCCCATCAAAATTACAAGGGATTGGATCAGGAAGTTTTCCTTCAATTGGATGCAGCACTCCCGCTGCCATCAACCTCTCAAACAATTGAGCATAGGGTTCAGCAATCGGTGTGTAAGCGCGAGCATTTCTAGCTTCAGGATTTTGATGTGGTTTCGGTGCATATGCTGGTCTATTTTGGTGGATTGGTGCTTGGACAGGGTCATATGGTCTTGGAAGATTTTGGTATGCTGGTGCTCGGGGTGGATTATAGTGTGGTTGGGTATTATACACTGGGACATATGAAGTATGCGCCGCGATTTGGGGATTATTGGGGTATCGGGGGGATGGTCCTCCTGGTTGGTAAGTGACAGCTGAAACATCCTCCCTTTTCTTTTTGATGCCGCCAATGGAACCCGATTGTATAGCCCTACTTGCAGCTTGCAATGCGACCATAGACTGAATCTTCCCAGATTTAACACCTTCTCTATAAAGTCTCCTATTTTGACCAATTCTGCAAACTTCTGACCCATCATTGACATCATCTTATCAAAGTAGATAGCTTCTTGAGCTTGAATAAAGTACTTCGAGAGCTCACTC